CCTTGGAAACAGAAACCTGTAGCCATTTCCTCCTTAGGAGGATGAAACAGGAGTCTCCTCTCCGGGCTTCTTAAAATAAGAAGTGCCACATCGAAATGATTTTTCCAGGTTCAAGTTTGATTTTATTTTGGATGGCAATTATTTTTCAGATTATTTCAGATGATCATCTTAAATCAGATGATATTCCATGCTAAGATTACCCACCTCACCTTGGAGCTGGGGGACAAAGATCCTGAGTCACCACCAAACAAACCTGGATTCTGAGCTTTGTTATTCTCAGAGGTTTTGTTTGGAATATGATATTAATTTCCCCTTACTAGTGTTTTGCCAGTTAAAAATAAGAAAGTAAATTAAAATCAGTCTGAGCTAACAGAATTACAAGTCAATGCCACAAGAGGCTAAGAATAAAAGGGTCCACAGAAATTACTGAAACCCAGAAAATCAGCAGGAAGACTTAGGGAGGAAAATGGGGTGAGGAGGAAAATCAGCTCTGAAGTCACTTGAGTCAGTCACCCTAACAAGGATACAAAGGGAAAGAACCTTTATAAAAGGTTTTCAAAAGCTGGTATGAATTTCACACTCGCTTTGTAAGGGACATTTTTTAGAAGAGTTCATGGACAAATTTAGGTCTGAAAGCACTGCCAGAATGAGGCCATGTCCCATTTCCTATTACCTGCTACTTGTTCCTGTACTTTAAGGGGTTTTCTTTCATCCCATTGTGCTGCTGATTACCCATCCTTCATGCTGAGATTTTGCCAATTCCCTGTGAAATTTCTCTCCCAGTAAAAATGGATGTTGCACACTAAACTCCAAGGGCTTCAGGAACCTGGTGAAAGGATTGAGACCTGCTGTGTCCCAGGCTGCTTGTGGGGCTCTAAGAAATCACTGCACAACAGCCTGATCGCTCCTGGCAGGAAACTGAGCAGCTTGCCAGGAGTTCTCTCCCAAAAAAGTCACTTGGAACAATTAGATTTTGGACTTTAGAGCAAACAAGCAGAGACTACAAAAGAAATATACACTGTAACTCAAACTGAGCTCTCATTTGATGCAGGAATTAGCTTTAAGGGCTGTATTTATCACCCCAGCATTCCAGAAAGTTCTTTTCTAGACAGCCTGGATTTGAATGAAAGCAGGAAGTTCAGCCAGAATAGTTTGGTATCTAATTTAGAGAGTATTGATCAGAACAAACTCCTAGAAAATGAATATGGCCAAAGGAGGTGGCCTGTCCATGCCAAGAGCCTGGAGAAGCACGGGAGGCACTGTGAGACCAGAGCAGAGCCAGGCTCGGGCTGGCCCTGCCGGGAGCCCTGCAGCTCCAGGGACAGGAATGCAAACACTCTCCAGCTGCAGCACCAACAGCACAGCTGGAAAAGGCCACGGCACTGACAGAGCTGTGCCCCCAAAGCCAGCACCCAGAGCTCAGGCTCCGGGGCTCTGGCCCTGCTGGGCACTCTGCTGAAATGATGCTGCCAGGGGCTCCCGCTGGGGACACCCCGGGCTGTGTCGCACGCTGCACAGCAGCACTGGGAGCAGCAGCAGCTGCCTGTCACAGGGGTGCCTTGGGGCCGTTTTTGGCTGCTCCAGCAGCCCGCGGTGGGGACCTGGAGCCTCCACAGCCCTGCCCTGCTCTAGGGTCAACTAGGGTCACCACAAACGCCCTTCTCCACTTCATCCCATGACTGACTTGGCTCTTTTTGTATCAGAAAACCATTAAAAACAAACAGCAACTGACACACGAGATCAGTGCGTGGCTCAGCAACTGATCCTGGCTGGTGTCACACGGCTCCAAACTTCTCTGGAACCTCTCCAGAGGAAAAGGTTTCCTTACTTCCAGGCAGTCAGGCACTGCCTTGTGTTTTTCAGCAAGTTCACCAGTTGTGCCCCTTCTTCACTCACAGGTATTTATATATTTTGATAAAGCAGGCAACAGTTATATATATATAATAATATTTATTGAAATTATTTCCAGCTATTTACAAAAATGGTTGCTCATTTTACTGACTTAAACATCAACATTTAATTTCATATTTTATCATACAGACAAGATAAATAATGATTTTGAACATGAGAGAGAACATGGCAATATTATAAAACCTCACATCCCTTCCCATTTTTAATGCTGAATCTTACTGAAAGTGCAAATACTTTCAAAAAAAACCAGAAATAACTTTTCAGAAGAGTTAGATAATCAGAGAACATGCAGCTCTCTTGCAGTAACTGCCCTGTTCTCCAATACCCAAGAAGTATTTAAGCACTTTTAGCACACTGTGTGTCTCATAATAATTTTTTAATGATTACAACTTCTTTTTGCAGGTTTTTTCCCCAAAGGGATTAAGGTATTTACCACTTTTCATAGTGTTTTTCAGACTGAATAAATGTTTTAAGAACACAATGCCCTAAATGCTCCCAAATCCTCAGAGCTGTCAGGTACACAGAGCAGTTCCCACATTCTGGGCCTTGAGAGCCACCTGGTGGAATAAACCATAAAAAATACTCCTAAAATCACACCAAGGAGTAAAGAGAACCCAAATATGCTGGGGATGGGGAGGAGGGGGAGTGCCAAAAAATCCAAAAAGAAAAGGAAGAACAATCACATCAGACAGAATGAAAACTGAACCAATCTTATCTGCAGTTTTGTGATAAATACATCACAGTAATAACAAGCAGATCTCTGCTGAGCACTTTAAACAGCTTTGTTTTGCCACAGTGTCCCATGAATGAAAGCATTCAGAGCACCCTGCAGGAACCTGAACAAATAAAAATATATCTAGCAAATGTACCATCAGCTGCTTCTCATCCTCAAGCCATTTTCCATTTAACAGGAGGAAAACCCTGGAAAAAGTCTTGGAATTGGCCTGAAGACTTCTGGCAGGCTGTTTGACCCCACCAAACTCTCCCCACTGCTGCCCCACCCCTGCCTGTGTGTCCTTGAACGTTTTAGTCTGCTGCATCTGATTTCATGTCACTTGTTATGCAAAGCAGAGACTTACGAGGCTGATGGTATTTATTCTATCCAATGATTTTATTTCTTTCAGGAGGGTTTTAATGTAACCCAGACAGAGGACACACAGACAAGACTCCAGGCTTGGAACTGGGAGCAGTGGAAGCTGAGATATTTCAAAGTGAGTACTAGTTTTAAAAAAAATCTGAGCTTAAATTTTAAGATTTTCTCAGCTTAAGCAGCTTTTTGCTCATCTACCTTTTCTACCTGTTTCATTTCGCTATGCAAAGTAATCAAAGGGGAAACCTAGAGGAACCTTGAGTGATTCCTTCCAACTTGTTTCTACCTTCCTCAAAAATAAGCTAATAATATTTTTTTTGGTGTGAAATCTTTAAATAATTCAGTGTCCTGCAGCTGCTTTGGCAGAGAAGCCTTTGACTGCAGATCTTGTTCTGTTATTTTTGTTTCAAAACGTGCTTTAATGAGGTGGAGGGAGCCAGTTCCTGTGGGCAGCCCTGTGCTTGCTGAGGTCCTAAGTAAGAATTGCTCAGAAAGAGAGAAAAACAAATCCAGAGAAGATTTGAGGGAGTTAAATTCTACATCTCACTATGCACAGCAAACTGTTCACAAACTCCCTAAAACCCAGGGCTGTCCTAACACAGGCAACCCACCAAGACCATGAACAGCTTCTTCCTGGAATCCCCCGATTTTAAAAATACCAAAAACTCCACCATGGTTTCCTCTACTGCCAGATCTTATTCTTGTGTTCCCCTTTTTAGCCATAAAAACGGCAACTGGTTCCCAGGAAAACCACTTCCTATTGAATGAGTTCTACGTACTTGGTACCCAGTGTAATCTGCAATTCTACCAGCTGTAAAACAGAATTTTTAGCTTTCCTTTTCAGTCCTTCCGCACTGAGAAAGAGGTGAATTATTTCCTTAAAGCACTAAGGAGGCTCCTGACAACCTCTGCAAAGGGTCGGGGGCTGCGATCCCCCCGTCCTGAGGGGAGGATCGAGACCCTGAGAGGAGAACTGCGACCTTGACGGGAAAAATGAGAACCTGAGGGGAGAGCTGAGATCCTGAGGGGAAAACTGGGACTGTGAGGGGATGGCAGCGACCCTGAGGGGAAAATTGAGACCGTGAGGGGACGGCGGCGACCCTGAGGGGAAAACTGAGACCGTGAGGGGACGGCGGCGACCCTGAGGGGAAAACTGGGACTGTGAGGGGACGGCGGCGACCCTGAGGGGAAAACTGGGACTGTGAGGGGACGGCAGCGACCCTGAGGGGAAAACTGGGACTGTGAGGGGACGGCAGCGACCCTGAGGGGAAAACTGGGACTGTGAGGGGACGGCGGTGACCCTGAGGGGAAAATTGAGACCGTGTGGGGAAAACTCGGACCGTGAGAGGATGGCAGCGACCCTGAGGTGAGAACTACGATCCTGAGGAGAAACCAGCCTCCCTGAGGGCCGGGGCTGGCGGGAGCCGCTGCCAGCCCGGTTCGCGCGGGCGCGGGCAAGCCGCGGCCCCTGGTTCCGCCCGCTCGGGCGCCGCGGCGGCCCCGACTCACGTTTGACGAGCTCCTCGGGCGCGAAGCCCGCGGCACAGCTGGTGAGCAGCGCCAGCGGCCGCGCTGCCGCCGCCA